TGCCTACTGGGCTCAGTCAGCTGATGAATTGCTGTTTCTGTTGCTGGGTCCAGATCATTAGAAAGGTGTCTTTCTCGGCTGCTGCTGTGGGAGGCGTTGTTGGGACCACTGTTCTCACTAGCATAGTTGTCATCTTCTCAGTCACCTCCACCTTGGGTGGCAAGTGAAAGGGGGAGTCTAATTTGCCATCTACATGGGGTCAGGACTAGACAGTGGTGACAATGGTGATGATAGTGTCATCAGGCATAATGATCTGGTCCAGCTTCATCTTCTTGGTATGTGTAATGCTAGGGCAAGGGGTGGAAGAGGTGGGTGTACCCAGGTTCTGAAAGGAGCTCTACTCATAGTGCAACTACACTGTCATGGTAGCTGCTGGGCTCAGGGGGTTCCCTGGCCCTTGAGTTAATGGGCCACAATGTCTGTTTAAGACTACACAGGCTAACAACAACAGCCAAAGGAGCCTAGTGCCATCAATGGGTTACTTCTTTTGGAATTGTTGGTCAGTGATGTCCCACAGACACCTAAACATTATAGTTTGTTGCCAGTGCTCATGGTTGCCTCTCAAACTTGATGTCAAAACCCTATTGTCAAAGATACTACATACTTGAGTCATAGAAGATGGAGAAACCAAGCTAATACTAATCTAAAAGCTTCGTTCATGCTAGATAGCTTTCATGGTGCTTGAAGGTGATATGCAGTCTATGTGAGGAGATGATTAATGATCAAGCATACCCAATAGTGAACCCTGCGATCTATACTCAATGATGAGTAGGGGCATGAACATCATGAGAACATTCAAGCACTTTTAATTGAATTCAAGGTACACTTCACAAGACGAAATACATGCATCGTTATAAGGTACAGAACCTATGGCTAGACAGGTACTAGGCTCAAGGAAGAATATTAATGTTATTTTACTAAATGGACATAATATTAATCCACACATAAAATAACTTAATAGACTGTTCATCTCTCAAATGCCTCTCTCAGCCCTCATCTAAGAAGTTCATGTTTGTAGTTTATGATGATCAACACAGAGACCTTTAACTGGCCAAGATGCAGAGAACAAAAGATGGCATGATATTCAGCCCTAAAGGCTACATATGTACTGAACCATCTGCTCCAAAGCTCAGGGATCATTGAAGAAGAAGGCATAGAAAAACCATAAGAGCCGCAGGCAGAAGATGACTATAGGATAGTATCTTCTGGATACAGCAGGGCAGCTGCATATATGAACTGACACCAACCGTGAAAGCATACACAAGACATAGGTAGGGATGTCAAAGGCAACCAAGTCCCAGCATGCAGAGGAAAATGGGGCATGAAGTTCCACCCCTGCCTGAGGAACTGTTAGCATTTATCCGCTGTTGTGAAAGGATGGGCCAATTTTATCTATGAGTATAGAGCCTATCAGTCAACCCCACTCCAGTGGAAGGCCACACATACAAGACTTTTTAGACAGTACAAACTAACCTTGATGGGAAGATAAAAATACATAAAGTTGGGTAGGAAGAGAAAGGACGGAAAGGCAGATCTGGGAAGGGTTACATCTAGGAGATTAAGTATGACAAAAACTCAATTTTCAAGGCACAGAAGGCCTCACATTGGTGGGATATAGTGTACTGGCTTTCTAAATGCAAACTAATTACAACCAGACTGACTGTATCAAAGGCTGGACATGCAAATGATGGCTATTTTAACCTGCATGAAAAAAATTAGTAAGTAAAACATATTTTTTTAAAAAAAAATATAGCATTCTCTGAGTTATCTACCTCTTTTTCATGTAAGATTCTTCTTCCTTCTTTGGAACTGGGAAATGGGTACAAGAGATGAAGAACTTGTTGAGGTAGCACTTGGTGACTTATGAAGTGGGGCCATGAGAAGACTGACATTTCTGCCTGGTGTACAACTCTGGAAAGATATCCCTGATATACTAATGAATAACATCCTTCTACATTTAGGCTTTAAGGGACCCAAATGGAGAGGTGACAGGAAAGAGCCTAAGACTCATGGAGACATTTGGCCTCCCTTATAGTCCTGCTCCAGCACTATTTGTCTAAAACTGCAAAAGTGCCCTAGCCCATAGTGCACATTCCCTGGGAACTTACAGAATTTAGGGTGCACAACAACTGTGGGAGAACATAAATGGTTGTTTTTGTCTTAAACCACTGTTTTGGGATAGATAACTGTCTCATGAAAGGAAAAAATGAGGTATCAACAAAGAGGGAGGCAGTTTCTAGGGCTTGCAGAAGGGGAATGAGAGCAAAGAGTAATTTAGTTTACACCCCAAACCTTGGGAAGAACTTTGGGGTAGCTCCTACCAAGGGAGGTGAGGGTGAAACTTGGCTTTGGAAAGAATGTTGTTTGTACAGTTTTCTATTTTCACATGGCAGCTGAGTCTGCAATACCCTTTGCTGCCAGGTAGGCGCTTTCACTTTACTTTCTTTTCTTTTCACACCCTGTGTGCCTCAGTTAGTGTTTTTGTTGGCAATATGTAAAATGCAGCTCTGTGGAGAAAGGGAAGCAGAAATGCTTCAAATTGAGCAACATCAGAGTACAGTTCACAGAGAAATCTTCATACTAAAACTAGGAAGAGTGAGTAAATTGAGTAAAGTCCTCTGCTTTATCCTGCATACACGCACTCACACACACACACACACACACACACACACACACTTGCACACACACGCACACCACCAATATGAAGGCTACTAAATTTAGCACTGGTCTTGCAATTTTTCCTACCAGACCATCAGGATGACACGCTCTTTCTGTGCTGTTCCTCTATCCTGACAGATGGCAGAGGTCCTTACTTAAGATCTTCCCATGCCACTTGTATCTGTGTCCCTAGACAAGTTTGTGTTTTCATTGATTTGACAAAATTAATTTGACCTAATGACACAATCCTTACTTTGTCATCAGTAGTCTTCATGTCCATAGTCTCTTGTGTGAATGGTGACGGTGACTACACTTCCTTATTCTACCTGGAACAAGCTTCTCTCAATGATACAACATCCTCCACAGCCATTTCACATAATTCTGTATTTCTTTTCACACCCTGTGTGCCTCAGTTAGTGTTTTTGTTGCGGAGACGAAACACATGACCACCTCCGTATACTGCCACTCCCTCTGGGGGTGATTTTCTTTTAAGCCACCATATTAATGATATCCTAATGCAAAAATGCATTTAGTTCAACTTCAAAAACCTGCATAGTGTATAACAGTTCCAAACTTATTTAAAAGTCTAAAGTTTAAAGTCTCTTCTGAGATTCATGCAATTTCTTGACTGCAATTTCTTGTAAAATCAAATAAAAAGGCAGATCACATATTTTCAATATAATGGCATGGGATAAACATTACCATTCCAAAATGCAGGGAAGAGAGCATACTGAGGAAATACTGGCCCAAAACAAGACTAAAAATCAGCCGGGCAAACTTGAAATTCTGCATCCCCATGTCTGATGACAAAATGCTCTTCAGATCTCCACCTCTGTTCAGCTTTGTTGACTGCAACATACTTCTTTCTTTAGGTTGGTTCCACTCCTATTAGCAGTTCTTTTGGGCAGGCATACCATGACTCTGGCTTCTCTATTATCTCTAACATCTCCATGGCAATCCAGGCTTCAACTTCACAGCTTTATGCAATGGCTTATTTAGGCTTCCATTCGGGAACATCCCTGACACATGCCTGGCCTCAGCAGCTTTTCTTAGCATGCAGACAAATTCCATACTTATTTCTTCTATCTTTAACTGTAAAGCCAATCCACGTGGCCAAAGCTGTCAAGATCATTTGCTTCCTATGGCTGGAACATGGCCCCCTCATTCAATTACAGTGTCACCTTTCTGTTTTTGATTGTTGTCTTTTTTTTAATATAATTTTTTATTGAAAAAAAATTTCCGCCTCCTCCCCGCCTCCCATTTCCCTCCCCGTCTCCCTGTTCCCCCTCCTCCTCCCTCTCCTCTCCCCGTCCCCCCACTCCTCTCCCCCTCCCTCTCCAGTCTGAAGGGCAGTCAGGGTTCCCTGCCCTGTGGAAAGTCCAAAGTCCTCCCCG